CATCTGCAAAAGTTGTTAATGAAAATGAAAGCCACAATAAAACGACAGTCACCCAGGCAATAGTAATGGAACTAAATGCTTTGAAGAAGTCGGGACGATAGGAAAACATTTAAGGGAACGGCCTTCGGAGAAGAGCGTGAAGTTAAGACCAACTACGACTGGGGTTTGGCGGGGCCAGGAGCAAGCGCTGGAAATGCTTGCCCGGGGCACTGGGGATGGAGGGGACGACCGTCCAGTGCCCGGGCCACATGGATCCCGTGGGCCTTCAGAATCCTTACCATGTTGTACCTTGGGTTCCCACTGTCCCCTTTAAAATTAATGTGGTCGAATATATATATAATACAAAATTTGCCACTTTAACCATTTTTGACGATTCAGTGGTTCTAATTCACAATATCAGGCAACCAGAGCATCTATTTCTGAAACGCTTCCATCACCCGAACAGAAATCCCATTCTCACCAAGCAGTTCCTCCCCATTCCCTGTCCCTGGCCCCCAGCCCCTCTAATCTGTCTGTCCCTATAAATTTGCCTCTTCTGGACATTTTGTACAGAGAGATCGTACAGGACCTGGCCTTCCATGACTGGCTTCTTTCACTCAGCCTATGTTTTCAGGGCTTATCCGTCCTGTCACTGGTTGTTAATATAGCGTTAATGTAATGTTTTTGTAACATTCCACTGCATGGAGAAGTTATATTTTGTTTCCTCACTTGGAGCTTCTAGACCTTCGGGCTGTTTCCAGCTTTGGCAGTCTTGACTCACGGTGCTGCTCAGACAGTCACACACTCTTGCACGCACACTCCCAGATTATAACCACACACAGCCTGGATGCTTCTTCCCTTGCCCATTTCCACCTGGGATTAATTTCAGTACTGGAACCTCAGATGGGGCAGCCGGGCCCAAGAGAGGAGAAAGTGATCTGCCCAAGGTCACCCCCAAAATCGCATTATCCAGTTCCTCTTTCTTCTTTCCTTCCATCTACCCACCCAGCCAGCCAGCTCCCCACCACCACCCCTGCCGCATTTCTAAAATGATTCTAGATGCCTACGATGTGCCAGGATCTGTGCTAGATACAAGGCCATGGCCAAACCTACAGCAGGGTTGTCTCACTTCTGCATCCCACTCGTCCTCTCCTGCCCCCAGGTAGGAGCCACAGAGGCTTGGCCAGGAACACCCCAGGGCCCACATGCAGCTCCTGCTCCTCTGAATGGGGGCATCCTAGAGGTCCTGATGACGGGGTCCTGTAGGGGTGGGATCTCACATCTTTCAAGGATCAAGGAAAGTCCCGAGCCAGAACACTCCCCACCAGGGCCTTGATGACCTCATCTGGAATTGTCCAGCATCAGGAGTGCTGGTGACAAGCCCTAGCAGCCAGCTCTGTTGGTGCCCCGAGGCAGACTGGGGGAGCTGGGGCCTGACCTTCAGTTCCGCGTGTTCCCATGGTGTGAACCCCCCAGCGTCTTGACCTGTCCTGTGTGCCAGCTGGGCGAGTCCCCCACCAGACAGAGAGAGTCTTCCGACGACCAGAGCAGACGGGAGGTATACACAGCTCCAGGCCTCCTGTCTCTCCCGCTCTTGCTAACTTTGCCAAGCTTAGAGATGTGATAGAGAGTTCCGGAGCTCCCAGAAGTAACAAGGGAAAGGAGAACCAGTTTGGGGAGACTGAGGAAGCCGGGTCGCAGTGGGCAGGGGCTGGTAGCTGCCTCCTGGGGGCCAAGAGCTGCGTGCACACGTGAAGGGGTCCTAGTGAGGGGTCCCAGAATGGCACCCCTTGCCCCCTTGCCCCTCGTGGCCCCTCCACCGGGCAGGCCCTCTGGGACAGCGGGCGAACTGTCCAACCACGTCCAGCTGAGGGGACAAAACAGATTCAGCCACAGCGACATGCAGAGACCGTTGGGCCACCCACGACATGGTGGCTGCCATGGGCCCCATGCGGTGGGATTTGCCGAGAGGCTCCTGAGAGCTAACGCGGTGAAGGCCTGTCCTGACACACAGCAAGTGCTCAGTCAAGCACCGTTTCCCCAGGTGCCAGGGAAGACAAGCCCCAAACGCCCGCTCCAGGGAATGGACTGAGCTCCCCCCACCTCAAAAAGGTCACCAGGCTATTTACAAACTTTCTGCTTCTGTTTTCTCCAGCCTGGAGAACCAAATATTTGGTTCTGTGCGTTTGTCTGGTCTGGTTTTCTTTTTAATAGTGCACTTGTAGAGAAGGGGGCTCTGGGCCAGGCATGGGGCAGAAAGCTCCCGCCCCCTTTTCCCTGGAGGGCACAGTCAAGGCCCCCGCTCCCCATGATGCAGAAGGGGGGCCGAGGCTCTGAGAGGGGAGACCCCTTTCTTACGACAAGCCCTACAGTGGCCTCCTTGGGGACAGCAGCAGTGCCTCCCTCTCTGCTGTGTCTCTAAGTCCTTGGGCAGTCACAGGGACACAGGGTTCAGGAAGGGCCCTGGGCCCGATCCGCCCACGGCTGGAGGGACTAGCCGTGCCATCTCCCTGCGCTGACAACGCCCAGACACTACTAACCACAAGAACAGACGGAATTGTAAGAAGGAGCACAAGCACGAGCAACTGACAGAGCCCTAAGAAGGAGCACCTACTTCCCGTTGAAATATGAATCACAGCCGTCCGGGGCCACGCCCAAGGCTGCAGACCTGCCTCAGTCTGGGGTGGGGGGCGTGGGTGCTGTGTAGGAAAGTCATGCTTCTCAGTGTAGCGGAGCTGTTTCCTATATTCTGAATTTCCCTGTTGGACATTTCCAAGGGCCCTGGAAGTCCTCTGGTCTCTTCCCTTCGTTTCCCAGGTAATGACCAGAGAGGGGCGGTGAGTGGCCCAAGGCTGCACAGCTTATTAGAGATGCCACGGAGATGAATCCCTGGGCCGGGTGCCCACAAGTCAACAGCCTGGATCCTTCCCCAGGCGCTTTCTCTGAGGCCAATTCTGGCACAGACCTCTCGTGTGTCCCAGCACTGGGGAGGGATGCTGGTTTCTGCTGATGACAGGGGAGAGCGCCAATCCAGGGAGGGGCAGACTCAAAGCACTCGCATTCTGGCAAACGGTGGCTAGGACCAATTTGGTTTCTGAAGACCCCCTCCCTGGCCCACATGCACATCATCCTGACTACCCTGCTTCCCCATTCCTCCTAGAGAGATGTCACACAGTCCACTCCTATGACATGTTGGGACAAAGGGGGAATCAGACTAGACGATGTATTGGAAATCCCTCTGTGGTCCTAGAACCAAAGTGCTAATGACCCTGGAAGATGAAATCATCCTGCCAGGCCAGCAAGAGCCTGGGAGTGTCAAACCCAAGCAGGGTCTCTCTCCCCCTTGCACAATCAAACCCCCTCCTGTGGTGAGGACTGCCCCCTCAGGGGCTCCCAGATGCACTGTTTTTGCTTCAAGACCTCTGCCTACATTGACTCTTCTTCAAGGAATGTCCTTCCTCCCCCTAATTCTTAATAGCTCTTCAAGATCTGGCCAGGATCTTGCCTCCTCCAGGAAGCCTTCTGTGATTATGCTGTCTCATACAAGCTCTCCCTTCTCCAAGCATCCACCACCACTGCACTTGCTACGATTCTGTTCTGCTCCCAGCGGCTGCCTGCCTGACATGCAGAATGTGAATCCAGGAGGCTACAATGAGCCTCAATACGGTTTCATGCATCTCACCATGGCAGCAGTCATTAAATGTTCCCCTTTACCACTTAGCTATCTGGAAAACTCCTATTCATCTTTCAAAACCCAGCGTTGAATGTCCCCGACCCTGGAAAACCCTCCCTGACTCTTCCTGGGTGGAGCCAAACTCATTCTTCTGTGCTTCCAATGCATTTCCCCATAACTCACTCCCAGGGATGTACAGAGCGCCAAGTTACCGGCAGGCAGCGGGCAGGGCACCAGGAACACTGTACTGAATGAGACAAAATCAGGCCCCACCCTGGGGAGCCTACATTCCACCGGGGGAGGCAAGCACCTGCCAATTTCCCAGTGACTTAATGACGTCACCAAGACGCACTGAACACTCGCTAGGTCTTAAGTGTTGCATGTGTCGTGAGTCATTTCATCCTGAGAGCGCCAGAGCCTGCTCCTTGACCTTCCATGCTTCTGTGTCCCCTGTGTGGGAAGGCGCTAAACTTCCACCCTCCCGCCCCCACTCACTCTCCTAGTCCCCTCCCTGCTCTATTTACCTCCTTGGCACTTGTCACCAAACACACTATGTTCCTCTCATTTCTTCCTTACCCTCTGCCTCTCTCACTAATCGTGAATTCCCCAAAGGAGGGACCTGCCGTCTGTGCGCCCACAGCCTAGGACGGTGCCCCGTCAACACCGCTGACCCAACACATTTGTCAAAAGGAACGTATCACTCTTTCATTTTCAGATGAGATCACTGGCACTCAGAGATGTCACTAATTTACCCAACGTTACACAGTTGGTGAGCTGCAGAGGCTGGATGCAAACCCGGGCCCCTGGCACCAAGGTACATGCTTCTTGCCACTTGCCACATTGCACAGTCCCCTCGTATCACCACCACGTGTCACCCGACTGCCTCCTCCACCTGACTATGTCGCCCTCAAGGGTGGGAGCTGTCGTCTTCATCTTGTCCCCCACGGGACCACACACAGTGCCTGGCCCGGAGCAGTTTCCACCAACCGTTTACTAAATGAGTAAACAACCCCATGAATGTCTAATTATGTTTTATAAACATCTGGTTATTGATCGTTGAGACAAAATTCTCAGTTTCAAGTCCCTGGAGTCTTAAAGCGGGTGCTGTCAGGAGGACTCTACTTTGGTAGACGAAAGCATGTCCCAATCCCCCTTGCACATTCTGGCATGCCCTCTGCTTCTCTGCTTACAGACCAGGAGCCTTCTGAGGGTGGTGAGTTCCTTCCCTCCCCACACCCCCAACCCTGGCATGCTCGGATCTAGACGCTGCCCTGCCCGAGCACTTGCCAAACAGACAGCATCCGGGGGTCGCCCAGCCCCTCCCCGCCTCCCTTCCCCAGGCACTTACGCGGGACTTCTCTGCCAGCCTCGTGTGCAATGCCCGTTTCCAGAGATTCTTGGCAGAGCCGGCTTCGAGGAGAAGCAGCAGGAAGCACAGAGCCCAGATGACCTTCCTTCGGCCGCTGCCCCTCCTGCGGCCGGAAAATGGCATTTCCTCCCACATGTTCAGGGAAGAGGGGCCCTCTGGCCGGGTGAGTGCTGGAAGTGGGGAGCCGAAGTGTGCACCGTCTGCCAGGCTCTTAGCTACACTCGGCCAGGTCGCTGGGATCCTGCGTCTGGTGCCCAGCACATGCCCTCACCCTACCACCACTCCCGGTGGTGGCCGGCCCTCCTGGTTATTTTTAGCTGGGACCTATAACATCTGGCCCCAGAGGCTCCACCATAGACGTCTGCGGCCCAGGCAGTTCAGACGGTGGAGGCAGGAGGAGGGGGCACAGGGCTGGCTTGGAGACGTGGCTGGGAGTTGCCCTGTCCCACTGGGATAACGAGCACTTCCTCCTTGCAGACTGGGGCAGTCTCTCCTCCCCAAGGAGGTGGCTGGCTGCGGGGGCTGGGGGGGTGGGCCCGGGCCGGGTGGGGGCGGGCACACAGGGGAACCGGCCCAGGAAGGTGGGTGGGGGTTGGCGGCTTCTAGCTCGGCGAAGTTTTGAGCTGAGCTGACGAACCATCTGCCCGTAGAAGCTTCTCTGGGAGAGGTGCTGGCTGAGCACGTGGCCATGGGAAAACTCACCGCCTTGAACCCTGGTGTCCTCCCTCGTGCGGATGTGCCAACAGTTACATCGTGTGTTCCTTGGGAAAGTTCAGTGACGTTTTGACCGTGACCCGGGTCACATGCGTCGTGAGTGAGTCGTGTCAGCCTGTGCGTGCTCTGTACACATGCAGGAAGCGCCGTGCTCAGTATCCGACAGTCCGCTGCCTGCCCGCAGCAGCCCCTACTCTGACGCCCATTTCACAGACAGGAAAACAGGCACAAGTACTTGCCTGAGGTCAGGCAGCAGGAGGCCACGTTGGGGCTCGGCCCCAGGCCCATCTGACCCCTGCGACCTACAGTCAGGAAAGCAGAAGGGACCCAGGCCCCAGACTGAGCCACACCTGGGTGGCATCCCAGCTTGGCCATGTAGATACGGCGCTGGGAAAGCCTGCCCTAGTTCTTTCATCTGTGACACTGGGTTTGTGGTCTTAGCTCCGGCGGCAAGAGAAGCTCAGACGCCCTCATGTGAGTGCTGCAAGGTCAGGCATTGCTCACTGTCCACACGGGGCCTGGCCCGCGTGAGCCCCCAGCAAGTCCCACATCGGGGTACAGAATAGGTTTAGCCATCACAACAACCATCCGAGGAAGTACGCATCATCTGCAGACGAGAGATGGAGGGCAAAAGTCAGTCCCAGTACATGGCACAGGATGGCACACAGTAGGTGCTCAATACATGCTCTTTGGCTGAGAAATCAGCTCCACGGCAGTACTGGGATCCCAGGGACCCAGGGCACCGAGCTGGGACACATCTATTCATTTCCTGCAAAGATTAACTTATAGAAATGACCATCCAAAGTCTTTAGGACAGGAGGGGGACACCCGGGCACACGTGTGCTCCAGGCTCAATACGGAAGGAGAAAGGCTCTAAGGAGAGAAGTTACCATGGAACAAATTTGCCTGGGAAACCAGCCGCTTTCCTTTGATCAGCTACACTACGGGCTCCTGGCCTGACAGCCCGGCTGGACCGCCCCGCGGGCGCCGACAGGGCCAGCCAGGGCCAGGGACCTGCTGTGACTGGGGGGCCGCCAGCTCCGCCTGGCTTTCTGCCAGGCCTCGGAACTTGATGTTCCAAGCAGTGGAGGTCTTTCTGGTTTATCTGAGTTCCGGAGCCTGGATTTGATCCCAAGCTTCATGGGCTGTCCTCCCAGGACCAACTAACCCATGAGTGTGACTTCCTGCCACTCCGGGGGGCGGGAGATTTCCTCTGGGAAAGCCTCGGAGCCAGGAGGACTTTTATCAAGTCTGCTCTGAGTGAGGGGCCCACTGGGGTCTGACAGCGGCTGCCTGCCAAGGGCTTCTCTCCCTCTGAAAAAAGAGGAAATAGTATCCTTTAGAAATATTAAGGGCACAAGCACGTTAAGGGTCTCCCACTCCAGAGCAGAGGACGGGGCCCACAGTCACAGGGTCTAGGAAGAAATCCTGAACCTCTACCCCTGATAAAACTCCCCCACCCTATCACTGGGCCTTTCCATGGAAGGCAGAACATGTTTCCCATGGTGATCAGATCAAGCCAAGTGCATACTTTAGGAAAGGGGCCAGGGTGACTTTCATCCATAAATCGTACTAAAGTGTGAATGACTTGCAGCAGAAAGAAATATAGTGGCACAAGAAAGAGGACCAGGATACATTTGTTCATCCACTCAAACATTTGAGTACCTACCCGGTGCCTGGCCTGGGGATCCCAGGGTCAGTAAAACCAGGCCCAAACCCCGCCCTGCTGGGCTTTCCTGCCAAGTGGGCAAATCAGGAATTCACCAAACCGTGATCTGCATGCAGTTAGACAGCAATTTCAGCGCAGGCATGGCTTGAGGGATTTCAACAGACTCATTTCATCTATCTGAACTCTGCAAGTCAGGTATGGTCACTACCCCGATGTTACAGATAGGGAAACTGAGGGTCAGAGAAACGAGCAACTTGCCTGAGATGACATCATGGACAGTTCGCAAAGCTGGGAGTCACTCCCAGACACTCGCTTTCAGAGCCTGTGCTCGAAACCACTGCTCCATGTGCCCATGGGGAGCCAAGTTGCAGGTGAGGGGCGGCGGGGGGGGTGGATGCTGGATGGAGGAGGCCTCGCAGGGCTCCCTGGGGAAGCGGACACACATCTGAGCTCTGGAGGATAAGGCTGGACAGACAGCCTCGGTTAGAGCGTGTGGCTGTGGGGCCCATCCTCTAGGTAAAATTAGTAAGTATCAAGGATCTACTACAAATGCACTGATGAAAAGACAAATAGAGGGGTACCTGGGTGGCTCAGCAAGCTAAGCCTCTGCCTTCAGCTCAGGTCATGATCTCAGGGTCCTGGGACTGAGCCCCACATCGGGCTCTCTGCTCAGCAGGGAGCCTGCGTCCCCCTCTCTCTCTGCCTACTTGTGATTTCTCTCTGTCAAATAAATAAATAAAATCTTAAAAAAAAAAGAAAAAAGAAAAGAAGAAAAGACAAATAGAACCCAAGTTGGGACATATTCTTTTTTGTTTGTTTGTTCTGATGTTAAGAGAAATTAAGATACTTTGCTGAGCCCCTAAAGGTCTTGGGGGCCCTAGGCAGCATGCCTGAGGATGGCCCTAGGTCCAAAAAGCACTGTGTGACATGGGTCAAGCCTCTGCACTCTCTGAGCCAGGGAGCTGGGTGGTGTGGACGAGCCCACCGGGTGCCTGGTCCCCGCCAGCCCCTCCTGACCATGTCCTCTGGAAGCCAGGGTGGCCCCAAATGGAAAAGGGCCTCAAGTTGGCACTTGGCCTTAAGCCCAGCCCAGCCCAGCTCTGCTCCAGGCTGTGAATGAAAACAGATGTCCCCTGAGCTGCTTGTTCTTGGACAGCCAGACCCTGGCCTCCGTTCACCCCATCTCCCCGCCCCGTTACTGACCTCCACTCACTGTCTCCCCTTCCACTCACTGCTGATGCCCTCCCTGTTAGGGGACTCCCAGCTTCTGTACCCCCTTCAGCAGGCCTGCTCGCCTCCTCCCCCTGCCCTTGCCCCAGAGTGAATGGTGGCCCCAGGGCCAGACCTCCCAGGAGCAGATCCCCTGGCGCTGGCTGATGGGACCTCCCTGCTTCCTTCCCATTCAGCCTTGCTGCAGGAGAAAGCATCCCCTTTCCAGCAGTAGGAAGCCCTGAAGCCAATGCACACGGGTCAAAAGTCAGGTGTGAAGGCTGGCCTGGCTCTCTGCACCCTTGACCCCGATGATGCTCTGGTCCTACCAGCGTCTCTCTGGCTGCTGGGCCAGGGGTCCACCGGGCTTCTCTGGCTTCTTGCCCATGTGACTCAGTCACGTGTTTTTGTTTCTCCCTCCAGAGCAAATCTGATTGTGAAACCCCTCCACGCCCCACCTCCTAGGCTCCAAGCCGCAGCCCGGCCCTACTAAGGCACGGACAGACACAGGCAACCCCACAGGCCTCGCACATCTATTCCGGACTCGTTCAACCCGGCCGCATTTTAGCATCTCCCACAGGAGGGGTTTTCAACCAGCCCCACAGCCAGGTCAAGACCAGACCCAAGAACTCAGAACCAAGGTCAATGAGATCAGAACAGGTGGCATCCAAAGGTCCCAGTGTGATTCCTGTGAGCAGCCAAAGCCAGGAACACTGAGGCTGCTGGTGTCTCCCAGAGGAGCCCCCAGACCCACCTCCATGCTCCCTCCCACCTCCCTGCTGCAGCAGCCTGGCCTCCCCCACAGGCTGCTCCCCTGCCCCTTTGCTCTAGGGCCTTTGCCTGCACTGCTCCCTCTCCCTGACACCCTTCCCTGATGTCTTACCACAGAAACTGGTTCAGGCTTCTGCATGTCTCCACTCTCTGCAAAACACTCCGTGGCTTCCTCCCAGAAACATTCCCTGATCTCCAGGCCAGACCAGTTCCCCCGGAACAGGCTTTCAGAGACCACATGCCTAGGCCGGAGGACAGTCGAAGTGATGTTTCTTGCGACAGTGCCTGACTCTCCTAATAGGTGGTAAGTACCGTAAGGGTAGGGATCGTCTCTTCATTGTTTTTTTTTTTTCTTTCTCACCCACGATGCCCACTGGACACAGTAGGAGCTCAGTGAACATTTGCTGTGTGGCTAAAGGGATCCTCCTACACCCCACCCAGGGCTCCTGCCCAGATGACTTTGCCAGGACTTCTTAATGACAGTCAGTGACCTGAGAGCCCCCCACTGCATGGCACCAAAGTCCCATGAGCTGACTGGACAGTTGTGACTCATGTAGCCACACCTGTCCCCACGCTGTCACCCTTCCCCAGCAACTACCTATGCTAGACGGCGTCTTAGGAGCTAGAGACACCTGTCCCTCTGCCGGCTGGGCTGGAAGGTCGCTTGGCATCTTTGACACTCGGCGCTCATCTCTGTCACGGCGAATGCCCCCTGCACTAAGGGACACAGCCTCTACCCACGAGATGCCAGTGGTAGTCTCCCCCCTACCAGCTGTGACTACCAAAAACATGTCCAGACATTACCAAATGCCCCCTAGTCTGGGGACCAAATCGCTCCCGGGCGAGCCTCTTCATTGCTGGAGCCGACCACAGTAGAACAGAGTAGAGTAGGGACTTTGGCTTAGAGTTGTTGCCAAACTGTGCACGCCCGTCTGTCTATCTAAATCACACACATGCACGCGCACACACACACACACTCATAATTTAGGCAAAAAGCAGCACCCAGTAATAAACTCACTGGAAGCATGAGCTGAGGTCAGGGGCGTGGAAGTCTGCATGAGGTTCGGCTCCTGCTGTAATCGGTGAGCCCAGCGAGGCAC